CCCCTTGACCTTGTTTGTACTGTTGCATATATATATAGACCTGGTCTTGCTTGTCTAGCCTTATATATATATGTAATCCTGCATGTGAACTGGCCTTGTGGCCTTGAACCTGTGCTCGGAATGTGTGGTGACTTTGTGATCCACCCTGAGCTTGCTTTGCTTTGCTTGACTGGTCTTGTGACCCCTTGTTCTTCCCCACTTTGCCTATGGGGGTGTGTCAGATTTATATGACAGAGCTACTGTAGGCTATAGTGGGGTAGCACATATGGGGTACAGTTTTCTAGGGTTTGCATTTTGTACCCAACTTTCCCTTAGTCATTCTCATTCCTCGTTTCTTCTCAGTAAAATGTCGTGCCCATCCAGTGTCGTCGCGAGCATTTCCTGTGTAAACCCGAAATTTCCTTCGCAGCAAACCTTTACCCTCTCCACTTTCTCCCGTATGGCCAGTGGCGTGCCGTCAATTAAACGTGCGTCGATCTCCGGTAAACAGCGGCTAAGTGTCAGTTGCAGCTTCCGTGCGGTTGCGGTATTAACTAAGCTGTGACTTGCTCCTCCGTATATAAAAATCTTCACTGCTGTCCCCTGTATTTTCCCGTAAATCAGTATTGGACAATCCGTCGCTGTACCCTCCTTATTCATCCGAGCCCGATCGATGGCGTGAATCGGTACTGTGACTCGGTGAGGGTCAGTGGGGTCGGGTGAGCAGTAAGTCTCGTCAGTAGTGGGCCCGATCTCTACTGACTGTTGGCGTTTTCCTGCCTCCCAGGCTCTCTCCCCTGCTCTGCTCCACGGCGTCTCAGCTCCTCTGTTGCAAGCAAAGCAGTGCCCCTTAAATGGCGCAGCAGCTGCATTTGCCGCAACGGCATGAACGGTGGCGTGCTCGATCGGTCCCCGAGGGCGATGTCCGTAGTAGGACCGCGGTTTCGGACGGCGCAAAACGTCGATTTTCTCGGCGAGCGCGAGGATTTCGTTGAAATTCGATAGCCCGCGTAGCATGACTTCGTGCGAGATGTCCCCCTTCAGCCCTCCGACGTAACGTTCCACCCGCTCCGCCTCGTGCATATAACCGACTTGCCCGCATAGTGCGAGAAAACAGCTCATATAATCTTGGACCGACCCAAGTTGTCGCCAAGTACGCAGTCTCTGACGCGCCGAAATAGAAGCCGCGATCGGCTCGAAGCGCACCCAAAGCCCTGCGCACCACGCATCCCACGTGTTGTACTGGGCGGTTTCGCAGAACGAACTCCGGGTGACGGCTGGACCCGTGGGCCCTTCATCTTGCGACAACGGCTCGTAGGCGCGTGGCGACGTCACAATGACTCGCCACCAGTCCATGGCGGGGCTTCGTAGCAGCGAAACAGCGTATCGTATCTTCGCTGCGTCCGACTCGACGTAATTCGCGTCGAAGAAGACGTTCATCGTGAAGACCCACGATTGAACTGTCGCACCTCCACGTTGGCTAGGATCGAAGCAGGGCGGGCGCTGCGGTTTGAGTGGCATCGGTGCGATGATGCCGTCGTTGCCGCTCGTTGCTGCAAATTCGACGTGACGACGGGCTTCGCGGGGTGCGTTCGTGCTCGGTGCGGCCCTGTTCCTTTCCATGCCAGGCATTGATTGGGCGGCGCCATCACTGGCTGCGCCTGAGCGCTGTCCCACGCTGTCGTGGTGTGACGGTGTGCTGGATGAAATAACAACCGGCTCATCCGATTGCGCAGGTGCATTTGCAGATGTCGGTGCTGGTGCTGGTGCATTCGTCGTTGATTGCTGGCAGGCGGAGTCGCGCTCCGCCGTGAATGTCGCGATTTCGAGCGCCGAATCCTCAAGTTGGCGTACGAGCCAGTCGAGCTGCTCCTGTGTCAACGTCGTGAGATTGAGGTCGGCCATGGCGGGGGTGTCGGGTAAACTCAGCGAGAGCCTCAGTCGTGGCCGTGCGTGCTTTCGAGAGAGCACTTCAAGCGGCGGTGCCTGAACGTTGAGAGACGTCTACCCCCTCCAAAAATTGAGATAGTGGGGAAGCGAAGGTGTGGGTGCGGTCCGAGAAGAGATCGTAGGCTCTGAATACCAAGTGTTACGGGTGCAATTGAGCGAGCGAGCGAGAATTGCACTGTCGAAGCAAAACAGTACGTCGAGCGAAGGCATGAGCGAAGAATATATAGCGAAGCTAGAGTGGTAACGGTAATGTGTGAAAATGGGGTGCGCTACGGGCCTAGCGCCGAGGCTGGGAATTGTCGAGGCGGAGGTCCGGAGCGCGGTTTATCAACCGAACCGTGAGGTTGGGTCGCGTCGTGAACAGTGGCGGGAACAGTGGTCAAGGCGGGTGTCGCGAGTGGTAACGGTGCACTGTTGAGAGTTGTTGGCAGGAACAGTGGTGTACGCGCTGAGCAGGGACGCAAAGTAAGGAAAATGAATTTTTCTTAGAGTAGTCACCTCGTTCCCATAACAAAACGCAAAATCAAGACGTGTCATAATCACAAACTGTGAGAAGCATACATGCAGAACGGAGAATCTGACAGCTACTCAAATCCTACAAACCGTACAAAACCGTATTATGGCCCTGTTCGCCACGACCACGTGAACGCGAGGGGCGGGAAGGGGGCGAGGGGCTCCCGAAGGTGAGAAGGAAGTTGCGAATTACGCCCGGGGGCTCGCCCCTGGGTTGAAATTTCGCCATGGGATCAGGAAGGGGGACGAGGGGATTGAGCACCTCCCTCCCTCCTTCCTTCTACGGGCAAATCACTCGTCCATGCCATCGCAAAACGGGGTTGTTCGACAGGCATGCAAGCCCTTCCGCTGAATCATCTCAGCTGTTTCCACTTTGGGTTTTTTCCCACGGTCAGCCCGTAATTTAGTCTCACTGTGCTTTAACGCTCTGGAACCCTAAGGGTTAGGGTTAGCCTGTCGAACGCTGCTTTAGCCCCTCAACTTCATCCCCCTCGAAAGCACCGCGAGGCTTCTCACACGCACAGGGACGAGCCTAGCTCTAGCCCAGCCCTCACATCCCCAAGACGGAGGTTGGCCAAGGGATAGGCTAGAGTTCCGAATGGGAGGGAATACCCACCCCATACCCCATGAAAACATTTCCACCAGGACCCATGCTCCAACCATCCCTATCTCTGCCCTGAAGAAGTCACGTGCCTTTGCAACCGTTGGACGCGTGAGGGTTGTGTGGTTTTTTTTTTTTCCCCATGATTTACCCAGGCTTCCATGCCGGGCGGTGCTAACTTTTGGACTCTGCCCACGATGAAAATGGTGGAAGGTGGGGTGGCAACATCGCCACGACGTTCCCCTCCTTCCGACCTCGGGAGGCGCGGCTTCCGATTTCGTGGGGGGGGGGCGTTAACCTAGGGTAAGTTACTTAGAAATCACATCTTAGCTCTAGCCTAACCCTAGCATTGCAAGGAGACGTCTGCCTGTCGAACAGCCCCAACACCTTTCAGGGTGGTATGCAAGAGGGATAGACGAGAGAGGAAGGGGGGTTCCCAGCTGGCAGGGCAGGAAGTTGCGCTGCGCATTCGCGAACCCCCGCCCCAACCAAAAAAGGTGGGACACGGAGCCCTCCGAGGTTCGGGGGGGATCGTCAGGCTCGACAGGATTTTGGGACGCTGCCCGTCCCTAAACCTTTATTTTGAGCCCCTCACGAAGGTGCAGGGGGGCATCGTTCCCCTCCTCATCCCTTCTTCGGCCCACAAAGGGCGTGGCGAACGCGGCCTATATGCTGAGCCGTCTCCAGAACTTACCGTTGGACCTCCTACTTCTCGCCCTTGTGCTGTCAGTAAGGGGGTGTTACATTGCGCGCTGGTCCATTTACAATGAAATGGACCAGCGATGCAAGGGAGCATCATTTTAGAGGGACCACTTTCAAAAGTGGTCCCGCGTGGTACCGGGGACCATTTGCGGCGGACCAGCTATGCACAGTGCATTGCAGCTTCGAAAACGAGGTGTTGACGAAAACAAAAGTGTACCTGGTCACGCTTGAACAAGATGTCGCACACAGCAGATACTTTTGGCGAAACAATCAAAACGCAGTTTTCGCATGCGATTCCCATCGCCTTGGGTCGCTTTGGAAATGGTCCTGCGTGTCGAGCGTCGTTTTCGTACGTGCGCCTCGCACTGTACATACTGGTCCGTGGGCGGGTGCAAGTCGGGTCCATACCTGGGCCGTTCGCTGGTCCATGCTGGTCCGCGCTGGTCCGTGCAAATGCCCCTGGGCCGCAGCGGCCCAGCACGGCCCAGCGTAGTTCTTGCGCACATGTAACACCTCCTAAAATGTATCGAGTCTGTTTTCTAGGAAATAGGATGTGACGGTCCGAAAAAAGGTTCTAGCGGTAGGATGAAAACCAGGCGATACAGTGCAGCCGTTACTCACCGACTAGGTGCTAGCGTCCATTTCTTGACGCCTGCCAGGAAGGTTTGTTTGCTTCGATTGTGCCATCTGTATTCGCGGTCGACGCGATGCGAGCCGCTTTCCGATGCTCGATTTCCACAATGCGAGCCTCGCAGTTAGTTTCGCTGGCCATTTGTCGCTTCGTCGCTCTGTCGCTCGCTTCGTGGGACGATTGAACCGTCGCTGCAGTGCAATTGACTTTCGTTTACTAGCTACAGCTACAGCAAGTAGTAGCGTTTGTAGCCTACAAGAGGCCATCCATGGCCGTCCGATCCGTCCCAAGACGAGCAAGCGACTACCTGGGGATACGCGTTGGAGGTTCAGCGGGTTCGATGTGCGACTCAAGCCTGCGATTCAACCTGCAGTTCAGGAACACTGCGATTCATGCATGCAGTTGTGACTTAGTCGGACCGCGACTCGAGCTTCGCTTTCTGAAGAGTCCATCTACCATGACGACACGCAGTTCTCGTCGTGATAGTATTAATAGCCAGGTATATCGCATTGGCTCTTCACCCATCTTCAGTAATCCTTGCGACTGGACTTCCCACAGTCACTCGCCGCTCTAGCTCGATCTCTCGCACTCACACTCCGAGTGTGAGTCGCTCCCGCCGTGCAGCACGTCGCCAAGATGTCGCAGGCGTCGCACAAGCTCGTTCGCCCCGTCACCATGCTCGTGCTGCTTCTCGGAGCGTCGCTCGCCGTCGCCAGGCCCGCTCGTGCGACGTCGCCCGGCTCGCCAGGGCCTATCGATGCGATCTTCGTGTTCGGCGACTCGCTTCTCGACGTGGGGAACAATAATTACGGCCCGGCCGACTGGCCCAAGAATAACTTCGCGCCGTACGGCACTAACTACATCCCCGCGTCGGGCCGCGTTTGCGACGGCAAGCTGACCGTCGATTACCTCGGTAAGTGATTCTCGCATCATCATCATGCCTGTTAATGAGCGAGATAACCTATCGTCCCTTACCTTCACCATCACCCCTCTTAACCATGATTTTTCCTCCTACCATCCCCGCTCTCCAACGTTCCCATGCTGCAGCGGAGTGGCTGGGCTTCCCCGGGTCGCCTCCGCCGTACCTGCAGCCAGGCCGCAATGCGACGCTCGGAGTGAGCTTCGCCAGCGCTGGCGCCAGCTTCAACATTACGGGATACGTGAGTCACATGCCCCCGTGCTTATATGCTGTATTTCGGGACCTCTTGCAGCGAATCTTGCCTGCCTGTTATGCATCGCAGCATCACGCAACCTTCCTTCAACCTTCCCCCACAGACCCTCCCAGGCATCGCAGCAGCTGCAGTGGTACACCGAGCTGCAGTCCGACATGAGCACAGCAACACAGCAGCAGGCTCACATATGCTCCTGGGCCGATCCAACTCACTCACAGCAAGCCCCTTTCCTGTTCCGTCTTCCCCCGTGTCATGCACCCTTCCCCCACAGACCCTCCCGGCCTTCCAGGCATCGCAGCAGCTGCAGTGGTACGCCAAGCTCCAATCTGACGTGAACGCAGCCGCAGGCTCCGACCCGCTGCTCCCCTAGTCCCCAGCCGTCTTCTCCTCCGCGCTGCACATCGTTGGGCTGGGCGCCAACGACTACCAGATCCTCTTCTTCCCCAGGGGCTCGGAGCAACTGTTGATCCGACTCACTCACAGCAAGCCCCTCTTCTTTCCTTGTCCATTGTCCCCTCCGTCCTGCAGACCCTCCCGGCCTTCCAGGCATCCCAGCAGCTGCAGTGGTACACAAAACTCCAGGAAGACGTAAACACAGCAGCAGGCGCCGACCCGCTCCTCCCCAAGTCCCCAGCCGTCTTCTCCTCCGCGCTGCACATCGTCGGGCTCGGCGCCAACGACTACCAGATCCTCTTTTTCCCGGGGACTGGGAGCAGCTTCTGATACGACTCACTCACAGCAAGCCCCTCTTCTTTCCCGTCTTCCCCTGTGCCGTCCCCTCTTCCCTTGCAGACCCTCCCGGCCTTCCAGGCATCGCAGCAGCTGCAGTGGTACGCCAAGCTCCAGTCCGACGTGAACGCAGCAGCAGGCGCCGACCCGCTCCTCCCCAAGTCCCCAGCCGTCTTCGCCTCCGCACTCCACATCGTTGGGCTCGGCGCCAACGACTACCAGATCCTCTTCTTCGGAGAGCGCGTCAACGAGAGCACCATCCCGAGGCTCGCCGCGGGGGGTTCGCAGCAGGCGCGGGAGTTTGCTACCGCGGTGGTGGGAGCGGTTGAGGCGTATGTGAGGGGGCTGTATGGGCTGGGAGCAAGGCGGTTTTTGCTGTCGGAGCTGCCGCCGTTTGGGTGCGCGCCGCTGTGGCGGCAGGCGCTGCAGCAGGCGCAGTGCGTGGCGGTGCTGAATGGGTACGCTCAGGCGCACAACCGCCTGCTGGCTGCTGCTGCGGGGAGGCTTAGGGAGGAGCTGGTGGGGTCGCAGATTCTGCTGACCAAGGTGTACGGCCTTGTGGAGACCGCTGTCGCTGATCCCGCAACTGTTGGTGAGATTTTCTTTTCAGGCGCCTAAAAAGTTTGCTGTTGTAAGGAAGATGAGGGAGGCGATGCAGGGGTTGCGAATCCTGCTGGCTAAGGTGTACGGCCGGCCGTGTTGAGACGGCCGTTGCCGACCCTGCCACTGTTGGTGTTTCAATTTCTTGCCCTGCCGCTGACCATGCGCAAAAGCTAGCATTGTTGCTTTCTCGTTTCTCTTGTGTCAAAGTCCTTGCTCATTGTGGCGCACGGACCTTCCACGGACCTTCCAACCTGAGTAGACCTGACGCGTCCACACACAGAGTCCATTGTCGCCTTACGTCTCACACTCGCAGGTCGTCCCTCTCTTCGCTCCCTCCCCTGCAGGCCTCCTGGAGGGTAGCAACGCCTGCTGCGGTGGCCCGCCTCCCCTCAACGGGCTCGTGCAGTGCGGCACCACGGCCAACCTGGGTGGTAACCCGGTAACCGCATCGCAGTGCAGCCGCCCGCAGGACGCGGTGTTCTGGGACCAGTTCCACCCCACCGAGTCCCTCAACCGCATTCTCGCCCGCAACTCGTTTGTTGGCCGCCAGGACTCCATCACTCCCATGAGCGTGCGCGACCTGGCCCAGCTGGCCCGTGGCCAGAAGTAACAGCTTGCGCGTGGGCGGAGGTGATGGAAAATAGTTAAATTGGGATACAATCGAAATGATTATCCAAAAACGAAATGGTTACCTTTGTTTCTGAAAGTTGTGATGGGTTTGTTGAATAATATCCTTGCGCATGTGCGCCTTGAAAAAACGTGAAATGAAATGTGATTAATATGTGTGAAGTTTCTTTTGCCAAATTGGATGAAATAAGTTCGGTTTCCTCATGTATAATCGATTTTAGGGATGTAACTTCTGCGCAACCCTTACAACGTGCAAGTCGAATCTTGTGGCGGACTCGCCTGCGTTGTGTAGCGAGGACGCACGTCGATGCACAAATGCCACGGCACGCCAGCTCTACTACTCCGCATTCTGTACGAGCGTCGAAGGAAACCCGTAATCGACAATCCTCAGGCGAGCGACGTAGGCGAAGCGAAGGAAGGAGTAGGACAAGGCTTGCTATACACGCAGCGGTAGTGTATTTCACGCCGCAGCCTCGACGTCGCTTCATCCCTTTCCTTTCCCCAGGTCCGCGGCGAGTTCGCCTCTACTCGCAAATCGTAGGTCTCAACCCAATTTAACTATTTATCCCTTCCTAATACAGATATCAGGTTCGAGGTGACTGAACGAAACGCCGTGTGACATTGTAATGAGGTGCTTTTGAGCCGCCGTCGCCTGTTCGTCGTCGTCCATCGCCGTCCATCGCCGTCCATCGCCGTCCATCGCCGTCCATCGCCGTCCATCGCCGTCCATCGCCGTCCATCGCCGTCCATCGCCGTCCCGTGCGCTAAATACGGTCCGCGACGAGACGTTCTCTCTCTCCTGCTCCCGCTTCGTCGCTCCCCTTACTCCACCTCCCCCGCTCCGCTGTACCTCCCCTCTCCGCCTTTCCGCGCTGCTTCCCCCCGATCTCGCCGTTGCACCTCTGAAGGGCAGCTGAGACGGACGGCTGAGATCTTTTTAGGGCTGGCGGCGAAGGATCGCCAGGCGATGGATGCCATGGCGGCTCGCCTTCAGAGCTCCTTCGATGTGCGTCCTTCCATTCCATTCCATTCCATTCCATTCCATTCCATTCCATTCCATTCCATTTTATCGCACTACTGGTTTTGAGACGCCTCAAAACTAGGCTCGCCTGCAGAGCTCCTTCGATGTGCGTCCTTCTTTCCAGTTTTGAGGCGCCTCAGCATTTGGCTTGCCATTCCATCGCACTGCTACTTCACGCTCCTTCTCCCTGCCATCTTTCCGCCACCCGCGTGCCATCACACTTCCCACTTCCCATCCCCATCCTTCCCCTTCCATCCTCCCGTGTCTGCCATCCTCCCGTGTCTGCCATCCTCCCGTGTCTGCCATCCTCCCGTGTCTGCCATCCTCCCATGTCTCCCATCCCCCCTTGTCTGTCAACTTCCCTTGTCTGATCAGGAGGTGCTCGCTTCTGCCTCGCTGCTCGTGGAGGCTGCTTCCTCGGCTCCTCGTGGTGACGAGCAGTCAGGGTACGCACGCTACTACTCTCCCACACACTCCTTCCCTCTCCTCTCCCATCTCTCTTCCCATCTCTCTTCATCAGCTCCTCGTGGTGACGCGCAGTCAGGGTACACACGCTACTCTCCCACCCACTCTTTTTGATTTTTCTGAAACATCCTTGCTGCTTCATCAGCTCCTCGTAATCACGCACAGTCAGGGTACACATGCTACTCTCCCACACACTCCTTCCCTCTCCTCTCCCCATCTCTCTCCCACTTCCCTCGGTATTGCTGCTCTCCCATCTCTCTTCCCATTTTCTTCATCAGCACCTCGCAGTGACGCACAGTCAGGATACACACACTACTCTCACACACACTCCCTCCCTCTCCCCATCTCGCTCCCACTTCCCTCCGTTCTGCTCTCACTCCGGCTCTCTCCCATTAGCCCAATTTCATTCTTCTATTTCTTTCACTTTCTCTTTATTGAACGTTTGTCTTTCCTCCTTTCCATCTCATGTACTCATCTTCATTCCATGAACCTGTTTCCCCAATTTCCATCTTTGTCTCCATTATAAGCAGCTCCAGTGCGCCCCGCAGTGAGGTGGCGGTAGCATCAGCGCTGGAGGTGTTTCAGAGCCGAGTGGACCTCTTTCAAGCCGCCTGCGACCGGGCTCAGCAGCAAGTGGTGAGTCGTGAGGCTCAGCAGCAAGTGGTGAGTCGCAAGGCTCAGCAGCAAGAGTGGTGAGTGGTGAGGCTCAGCAGCAAGAGTGGTGAGTGGTGAGGCTCAGCAGCAAGTGGTGAGTGGTGAGGCTCAGCAGCAAGTGGTGAGTCGTGAGGCTCAGCAGCAAGTGGTGAGTCGCAAGGCTCAGCAGCAAGAGTGGTGAGTGGTGAGGCTCAGCAGCAAGTGGTGAGTTGTGAGGCTCAGCAGCACGTGGTGAATCGTGAGGCATGGCCAGATGTTCAGTCAACTGAAAAAAAAACGTCTCAGCACAATTTTTTAGTTAACTGAAAAATTGGCTCAGCAAGTTGTGAGTAGTGAGGAGTGGTGAGAGCACCGCGACCAGGCTCAGCAGCAAGTGGTGAGTGGTGAGGCATGGGCACTCGAGTCGAGTAGTGTGAGTACAGTGTATGGTGAGAGCACGGTGTGTGGGGAGAGCACGGTGTGTGGTGAGAGCACGGTGTGTGGGGAGAGCACGGTGTGTGGGGAGAGCACGGTGTGTGGGGAGAGCATGGCAAGTGTTAAGAGCATGGCAAACGGTACGGGCATGGTGAGTGGCGAGTGGTCCGCTGGGCATGTCCGCTGACGTTACCAGCTCCTGTTTTGAGTCGACTCAAAACACGCTGGGCATGTCCGCTGACGTTCCTTACCATCTTCTCGTCAGACTGTGGGTGGGCTAGCTTGCGTTTTCAGCTATGAAGCCTAAATGTCAAGTCGTGTGTTCCCTACTCCCTAGTTGTATCGTGCTCCCTCACCTGTCTCCTCGTACGCAGGGCGCAGCAAGGCATTGGCTGCTGTTGCAAAGCCTACGCTAGAGTTTTAGTGGGATATTTATCTTTCCATGTTACATCATTCCTCTCCCTGCGTGCAGGATGCAGCAAGGCACCGGCTGCTGTCGGAAAGCCTGGTGGACGAAGCAAGAGGCGCAGCAGTTGACACATCTGCTGTGGGTGCAGCAGGAGGAGAGGGGGAGGCGCAGATGGTGCTGGGAGCAACTCGGTTGGAGCAGATCAGCAAGGCTGTGAGAGCCATGGTGCAGGACCTGCAGCACGGGCATGCAGACAAGCACTGAGTCGCAGCAATTGTAGTCCAAAAGCATTGATTTGCAGTAAGTGTAGTCCGAAAGCACTAATTTGGACTAACAGAAGTAATTTTGACATCTGCTGAGGGTGCTACAGGAAGGGGTGAGGCGCAAATGGTGCAAGAGCATGCAGTATATTACAGAGCTGTTGCAATTGCACTCACTGATTAGGTAAGGATCGTGAGAACTATGAAGCAGGACCAGCTTAGGAGGAATAAGAATCTGAAGAAAATCGCCTAGAAAAAATCACCATCATTTTGATGGAATAAAGCAAGACCGACAATCTGCTAGTTACGGATTCCAGGTGCGGGTTCGTACGACATTTATGTGCATTGGTTATTGGCGAAGGATATGAACGAAAACCTGGCTACTAGTTCAGTAACAGATGCATACAAATGTAGGGCACCTATACACCAAAGCTAGAAACACATTTAAGCGCCGGGGGTGAAGTTGGTGGCATAGGCCCAGGCGTTGTTGACGGTGGGGTCAGCCAGGTGGTCGGACAGGTTCTCCAGGGGGCCCTTGCCGGTGACGATGGCCTGGACGAAGAAGCCGAACATCGACACCATGGCGAGGCGGCCGTTCTTGAGCTCCTTCACCTTCAGCTCAGCGAGGGCGTCGGGGTCGTCAGCCAGACCCAGGGGGTCGAAGGCACCGCCGGGGTACAGGGGGTCCTCAACCTCTTGGAAGCCCTCAAGGCCACCCACGCGGTAGCTCTCGACGGCACCCATGAGGATGACCTGGGTGGCCCAGATGGCCAGGATGGACTGGGCGTGGATCAGGCTGGGGTTGCCAAGGTAGTCAAGGCCGCCCTCGGAGAAGAACTGGGCACCGGCCTTGAACCACACAGCCTCGCCGAAGATCACGCCGTTGCCGGCGAGGAGCTCGGGGGTGAGGCAGCCGAGGGCACCGAGAAGAGCCCAACGAGCGTGGATCACCTGAAAGGGAATAACGAGAACGCAGAGAGAAAAATGGCAATGTTAAGACAACCGTCATTCAATGTGAGCGTGAGAACAATGATTGAAATCGCAACATGGAAAAATCGAACCGTTATTCAATGAGAAAGCGACGTACCTCCAGCTCACGGTTCTTGGCGAAGGTCTCGGGGTCAGCGGACAGACCCGCGGTGTCCCAGCCGTAGTCGCCGGCATACTCGCCGGTGAGGTACGACGAGGGGGAGGAGAAGGGGCCCAGGAACAGGTTGCGGTCGGGGCCGTAGAAGGCGCTGCTGGTAGCGGCCTTGGCGGTCTTCCTCATGGTGACGCGAGCCTCGACATTGTTCACCTTGGCGGCGAGCTCAACGCTCTGGCCGACGAAGGTGGACGGGAGCACAGCGGCGTTGGCGAGAGCGGCCATTGTCAACTGCGATAAAGGTACAGGTAGTAGCTGTGAGGGGTCCTGGAGATTTTGGAAGTCTGCTGTTGATCGAACTGCGGCTGACTTGTTGAAAGCTTGAGTGATGGCGGTATTTGAATGTTGGCGATTTGGTATGCGTGCAGCTGATTGGGGGGTTGAATGGCAGGGATGTGCGGTTGGACGTGGTGGGGAGGGGTGGGGAGAGCGAAAAGAGCGTTAGCGGATGTGGTTAGTGGTTGGCTGGGCCCGAGTGGCGTGTGGCCCGTAATCCGGATTAACTCAGGATCGCCTGAGCTGCTGGATGATCTGGGATTGGCTGGTTTCGAGGGTGGAAGATCACGAAGTCGGTCGTACCAAATATGTGATTGTGGATTTGGGTAATCGGTCCTACCAATGGCAAAGGTTGACGTGGTCCAATCCATCCCAATTTGTGGACAATGCCGCTCTCCGCTTTATGCATCTACATCGAATTCGGGATTTTCCATAGATGCATATTATGTATTTGAGAATGCACAAATTTACGGAACACACTAAAAAAAAACAAATTTACATGTTTGCCATGTTAGTGCCCCATGCAGGACCTCAGATATCAGGCTTTTTACCCTGATATTCCTGATTTTCAGGCTTTTTTCTGTACCAAGGATGAACTTTCAGGCTTTTACATTTTATAACACTGATTTTTCAGCCTTTTTATCTCCTATCAGGCTTTTTTTCTGACACTACTCTATCAGGCTTTTTTTCTGTAGTAACACTGAACTTCCTGGCCTTTTTTTGTTAAGAGTAGCGAGAAAGTGATGGTCGATTAGGTAAGGGGGGGGGGGTACAAGAGTGTCGAGAAAAGGGTTGTACCCTCTAGGGATAACTGTTAGAATAAGCAGGAATGAATGGTGGACTAGGTAGCATGCATGAGTACAAGTACCTAACCCTAAAGTGTTGTACCCCTTGTAGGCTAACCCACTATAGCCTAGAGATAACACAAACATACAGTTTGACACACCCCCATAGGCTAAGTGGGAGATAGCAAACACAACAGACGGTCACAAGACCAATCAAGCAAGAGAACAAGCAAAGCAAAGCAAAGCGCAGGGTGGATCTCAAGGACACCACACAATCTGAGCACAAGCAAGCGGCCACAAGGCCAGTTCACATGCAGAGTTATAATAGCAAGGCAGTACACGGATCACAACCTAGCAAGAGTAAACATGCAGGTATAAAGATATATATCAGTGTACAACAAGAGCAAGTCAAGCAACCAGCAGGTGAGGCAGAGTGGGCACAAGCCCAAGAGCAGTGCAAAAACGCTGATGATCACCAGACCCAAGGGCCTTGGTGAAAAGATCAGCAGTGTTGGCCCGAGAGGCCACGTAAGCAAGGCGCAGCTGACGACGCTGCTGCAACTCACGCGTAAGGAAGTAGCGAAGGGCAATGTGATTCGTTCTGTGCTCCAGTCTCTGCTCGCGACACAAGGCAAGCATTGCCTTGTTGTCGACGTACAGAACTGGAGGAGAACGAGGCCGCTCCCCCAAGTCGGTCAGCAGGTAGGTCAGCCAGCGTAGCTCCTGTGCAGCCATGGCCCCAGCATAGATCTCGGCCTCACAGCTGGAACCAAGCACAGAAGAAGAACGAGTGGACCTCCACGAGACAGAACCAAAGCCAAGACTGAAGGTGTAACCCTGTGACGAACGCTGAGTCGCCTGGTCGTCGGCCCAAGAAGCGTCAGAGTGTCTTGTGAGGACCACCGAACCCCGTCCTCCAAGCACGAGCCCCATGCCCGATGTGCTGCACAAGTAACGCAGTACCCTCTTCGCAGCATCAAAGTGCACCTTTCGGTGTCTACCGGGTGCCACGTAGCGAGCCAGAAGGTTGAGAGGGTACGCGAGGTCAGGTCGTATGCACGTCATCAGGTACATGAGGCAACCCACAAGCTCTGGGTACGGACCACTCGGCTCTACGGACTCGTCCGAAGGTGGAGCTGAGAGCGAGTGGCCAGTAGCCAGAGGAGTGGGCTGTGGCGAGGAGTGCGTGAAGTGGAAGCGTTGAAGGACGTGGTGCACCATGTGTGACTGAGTGAGGGTGATGGTGCGCCGTGGTCTGTCCCGGGTGATCAGCAAGCCAAGATAGCTCCGCAGCTCACCCAGGTCAGTGCAGGTGTGTCTCTCCTGCAGCTCCGCCTTCACTAGGGCCAGTGCCTCAGTGTCAGCAGTAGCAAAAACCAAGTCGTCGACGTACACGCGGATGTAGAACGGCGGCAGAGTAGTGTCGGTGCGTAGAAACAGCGACGGGTCAGCAGTCGAAGGAGCAAACCCAAGAGCCGCAAGTGTCGTCCTCAGTGTGTTGTGCCACTCGCGGGGCGCCTGACGCAGGCCGTACACTGGTCGCCGTAGGCTCCACTGGGTACCCTCAGGAAACGACCCAGTGAAGCCCTGTGGACGGCGCAACCAGATGGCCTCGTGAAGGCTACCCTGCAAGAAAGCTGTCGAGAAGTCGAGGGAGTGCAGCTCGTAGTCACGCTGAGCTGCAACGTGTAGCAACACCCGAAGAGTGGTCATCTTCGGGGTGGGGGAGAAGGTCTGAAAGAAGTCGACCCCCTCACGCTGACTGAAGCCTCGAGCAACGTAGCGTGCCTTGAAGGCAGGCGGAGAACCCGGCGGCCGCTTCACCCTGAAAATCCACATGCCACTGACGATGTTCGCCCCAGGTGGGGGAACCTCGTCGATGTAGGTGCCTGTGGACTTCCAGGAAGCCATCTCTGCGTCCATGGCTGTCTGCCACTGAGAGGAGTACTCACCCGAAATCGCCTCCCTGTAGGAGCGCGGGGTGGGGATGTCAAGTGCATCCGGGTCTCCCTTAGGGGCAAGCAGCATGGTCGCGTGATGGGGTGAAGCGGCAGCAAGGCACTCCAGCTCCTCCTGTCTGTCCTCAAGAACGTCACAGCCAAGGGCAGTACAGCCAAGAGCAGTCTCACCCCCGACGGACGGAGGACACGCAGGGACAGGGTCAGAGACAAGACTCGCAAGGTAGTCGAGGCGGTACACAGCAGCGAAGCCAACGAGCTCAGCTACTAGGGCAGACGCAGCAGGAGACGAGAACGTAGGGTCCGTCACAACCGTAGCAAGAAGGCGAGTAGCAGTCAGACTGGACGCACGAGCAAGGTCAGACGGAGGGTCAGCAACGTCATGCAGAGAGGACGCAGGAGGTAACGGTAGTACAACACGCTGAGGAACAGAGGAAGGACGGAGTGTCATATCGTGAGTGCCGGGGACAGCCGGAGCACGCGGACGACGAACACAAGGAACACGAGCACGGACAGCAGCTCTAGGCTCAGGCTCAAGGTCAAAGCTAGACTCAGGCTCTCGACGCTCAGGGGTGGAAGCACGAGTCTCAGGCTCTCGACGCTCAGTCAGGGACTCTGACACCGCAGTGTAAGGAGCAGGAGCAGGCAGTGGGGAGTGTGGTAGCAGCGGTGGCTGTGACTGGTCCGCCGGTGGACACAGCAACGGAGGAGTAGTACCTGCCACAGGGAAGCCAGTAGCACCTGGCGGAAGACTGAGAAGGTGGCGAAGAGCACCAGTAGCTCCCGTACCTCCAGCACGAGCAGCTCCTCCAGTACCCCCAGCAACACCTCCAGCACCAGT